TTGATTCTTTTTTTTTTTTTTTTTTTTACTTCCAGCTATGTTCCAAATGATTTCCCTGATTTTCTTTCAGTGGGTTTTGGAGGGAGAATAAGTGGGTACATAAGGAAATGCCAAGAGAAAAAGGTGTGTGTGTGTGTGTGTGAGTGTGTGGGGGGGGGCGGGGGAGAGGTGGAGAGAGATGAGAATGCTGTGCTTTCCAACACTACCTTCAAATCCGGTAACCGCCAGCCATGTGTTAGTAAACTTGGCTGGAGGACCTGCCGTCTACGACCTGCATCCACCCCATCACTCCATTTTTTGACCACGCGCCTAAAGACTAATGAAGTGATAGCTCTCCGTCCTTATCCCGTTTCTGTTTGTCTCGCCTGGCTTTCCCACTTCCGTATTGACCTATCCGTGCTGTCTGTCCCCCGTCACATGCAGAGTAAGGTGTCTGTAATCTGCTCACGGCCAAGGCGGGCTCAGCTTCCCATCACTGAGCGTGGAGTCCTGTGCCAGGGGGCTTCCATCGGCTCTGGAAAGGGAGCCACTTACAGAGGCATTAACGCTCCAGGGCTGTCTCCGGAATGCAGAGCCAGGGCGCTACAACTGTGATGCACTGGGCGCCCTCTTAGCGTCCCAAAGGAAAGGCCGCCTTACTTAGACAAAGGGGGCTCATTGCTTTCCCTCGCTCGGGAGGCTTTCCCTTTGTCACTGGTATTAGGAACTTTTTGATCCATCATCGGAAATGATTATACCGTTTTAGGGACTATGTCAGAACGCACCCTCAAGTGTACGCGTTTGACCAAGTAGCAGTGCGATGGCTGTGTTTCTGTGGCTCGTGCAGTCGGTACTAGTAGTTCGGGCTCACTGTCCTTGCTGGGAAGGAATGATGCCACCGACAGAGCAGTGGCCACACCAGATGTTTTCAGATAATTGAAGACATGTCAATATGGACTGCATAGTAAATGATGTTAAGAAATTGTTGCCTGTTTTGATAGGTATGCTAATCAATAGGTAACAAAAGAAAAAGACATTCTCATCAGTTGAGCATTATTCCTCAACCTCAGCCCTATTAACTCAGGACCAGACAATTCTTTGGAGTGGGCTGCTTTGTGAATTTGGGGATATTTAACAGCATCACTGGCCTCTCCCCACTAGATGCCAGTAGCATCCCACACACACACACACACACACACACACACACACAGCCAAATTGTGACAACCAATTGGCAAATGTCCCCTGGTTAAGAATCATTAAGTTAGTGAATCATAGATATGTATTGATGAATTAAGTGACATCATGTCTAGGATTTGCTTTTAAATACCCTAGCCAAACACACACACACGCACACACACAAAAAAACCAAAAAAACAAGTTTGGTGGATAGATGAAACTTGATTAGCATAATTTTTATTTTAGTAGAAGCTGGAAGGTGAGTACATAGGGATTCATAGTACCATTCTCTCTACCTCTGTGTTTGTTTGATTTTTAAAAATCAATCTGTTACTAAAATCTAATGTAGGATTACCAATAGGCTTTCCTTTTATTTATTTATTTATTTAATAGAGAGGCAACATATTTTTATTTATTTCATAGAAGAGGGAAGAAGGAGAGAGAGTTAGAAACATCAACGATGAGAGAAAATCATTGATGGGCTGCCTCCCGTATGCCCCACACTCGGAACTGAGCCCGCAACCCAGGCATGTGCCCTGGCCTGGAATTGAACCGTGACCTCCCGGTTCTTAGGTCGATACTCAACCATTCAGCCACGCCAGCTGGGCCAGCTTTCCTTTTAATACAGTGGGGCCTTGACTTACGAGTTTAATTCCTTCTGAGACCGAGCTCATTAAGGAGCTCGCTAACTCAAATTACTCTGTCAACTCAAAGCAAAAAATCGGCGGAGAGACAGCTGGTATCTCAAAAAAACTCGTCAGTCGGGACACTCGTAAGTCAAGGCCCCACTGTACCTCCTCTCAAAGTGGCTTCACTGTCTTCTTGGAAAACTCCTTGCAGACCTATTTCCCAATGCCTGGGGTAACCCTCCAGGATTCCTACCTGCATCATAGGAACTGACTCAGGTTTCTTCCCTGCTTTACTAATCCTTGCTGCTGAAGCCCAAAAGCAGAAAATATTAGCTAGAAGCAGAGCTAACATTGACGATAAAATAACAGATACCTAGAAGTTTCCCAGCCCCCACTAATACTATCACTAACTAAGAGAAAGATCTTCTCCTACGGCCTTATCCCCATTCTAGAAGGGATTTACCTGGTGGCTGGATAAGAAAAATTCAGGACCTTGAACCTCCATTCTAACTAGAGGGTTGTAGAGAACTACAAAAATTCCACCCCTCTCATCTCATCTTTTTATCTTTTAGTTTAAATCCCTGTTAATGTTGGTTGCCAGAGGGACGGGGTGTTGGGGAACTGGGGGAAGGGAGGATAGGTGAAAAAGGTGAAGGGTTTAAGAAATACAAATTGATTGTTACAGAAAAGTCATGGAGAATACCATTCTCCATGCATAGGGAATACCATTAATAATATTGTAATAACTATGTCTCGTGCTGGGTGGTACTAGATTTATCGGGATGATCACTCAGTAAGTTATATAATGTTTAATCAGTGGATATACACCTGAAACATAATATTGTATGTCAACTGTAATTTAAAAATAAAAATGTTTTAATTAGGTGCAGGTTAACAGCAAATTTACAAAAAGTAAAAAAAATAATAATAATCCCTGTTGAACTACTGTGAAGTAAAAGGGGTAAACATTGGGCTTTGTCTGCCAGAATGTAGAGAAATAGAAGTGAGGAGAGGTGGGAGGAAGACAGGGAGAGAACAGAAGAACTCCAGCTCCTGAGTAGTGCAGGAGAGAACAGAATATACAGGGAGTGAAACTGGAAAGCTGGAAATTTCCTCAGCTATTTCAATTTATGACTAACAAGTCCATTCCACACCATAGAGAGAGTCGTTGAACTGACTTAATGGAAGCCAGTGGCTAGGCAGGTGTATAACGTAAGTGTAAAACACATTATCTGCTGGTGTGAGGCTCATCATGTAGTGGGAAGGAGAAAACTTACAAACCTGAGAACCAATCAGAGCAAAATTAATTGTGAACGGAGTGCCATTAGCCCCACGTGGGGTGCAGCTGCTACGTAGGAGCTGCTATTAGCAGATGAGAAAGCAAGGCAGCTGAGATCGAAGCTGCAGTCTTCACAGAGAAGAAATTTCAACTGAACCTCAAAGGTGAATAGGATTTAGATCAGCTAAGACTTTTCTCATGAGAGAAAAAACAAGAGCAAAAGTACTCAATAAATATTTAAGTGCCAGCTATGTGGCAGATAGTGTTGAGGTTAATATTGTGTGAAGGTGCATAAGCCAAAACCCTCACCTAGTATGAAATCAGGAATATGCACAGAATCTTTGTCAAACGTGTGGAGACCAGAATGACTGGAAATGACAGTGTGTACTCCAGAGGAACAGAACCGATAGCATATGTATCTAGATCTAGATATAGATGTCTAGGTCTGTGTCTAGAGAGACAGGAAGGGAAGGAAGGGAGGGAGGCAGATAGACGGATGGATAGATAGGCAGATAGAAAGAGATGTTAAGGAATTTTCTCATGTGATTGTGGAGACTGGCAAGTCTGCAATTTGCAGGGCAAGCCAGCAGACTGGAGACCCGGGGAAGAGTTGATGTTGCGGTCCTGAGTCCAAAGGCAGAATTCGGAGGCAGAAGTCCATCTTCCTCAAGAGACTTCAGTCTTTGCCCTTAAGGCCTGCAATGGCTTGAATAAAACCTACCCACATTATGGAAGAATCTGCTTTATTCAAAGTCTACTGATTTAAAAGTTAATCCTACCTAATAAATACCTTCACAGAGTCATCTAGACTGGTGTTTGACCAAATACCTCGGTACTGTGGCCTAGCCAAGTTGACACATGAAATTAACCATCACAGGATGGGGTGTATATGAGATCAATGGTTCAGTGGTATGAAAGTCAGATGAGGACGATTCTTGAGAAACAAACAGGATGCTGTAGGAAGACCAGGCTAGGGCTGTATCTAGTAGATTGGAGACAATACCACCCTGTCATCTTTACCCCACAGCAATCAAAGGCAATACCTTTCCATCACTCCTCGGTTGCTATGTGGTTGGCACATCTAGCCCAGGAAACCAGTCCTGCAGTCTGTTGTTCATATCTGTGTGTCTTGCTCTAATCTGAGAAGCAAGAAGCTCAGGTTTTTCCCTTCCTTGTTGCTACAGCCTTTTACACAGGCTGTACAAGGCACGCCCACAAGCTATTTTGCATTTTGAAAAGCCTGAATGATTAGGAAGGAAATTTAGCTTTCAGTTTTGAAGTTCTTTAAAGCAATACCTATTCTCTATTTCAGGTCGAAATAAGTAATGGCATCAACCCTGAAATGCAAGTGCTGAACTTGACTTAGGAAGCTAAGCGTCACTGACAGCTCCTCTCTGCATCAACATGTCTCACTTTCTCCCAGAGGACGGACTGCGCCTCCCTGCTTTCCCACAGATCACGGAGTTCTTCGGTCACAGCCTGTGTGTTATTAGCATTGTGCGCTAGATGAGTTGTAGGTGCTCGGGTGGGTATTTTTTAGTCATTTTCTTCTTATATGAATACTTGTAAGTTGTAAAAAAAAATTGGTTTTAAATTTTTTAACAGAATTTAACATGAGGCATGCAGAATGGGGGAAAAAAAAGCTGTGAAAACCTACAGACAATTCCATGAGAAACATTGGTTTGTATTAGTGAGGTGGTACGTCAGGACTGCTGATGGCTGCACTTATCCTAGACCTGATGGAGTTTACACTAGCAAACATTACTTGGAGTTACTAGACAGGAAGTTAGATGCTGTGATAAATGGGTGCAAATAGTGGGCCTGGCTTTCACACTGAGTATGGATCATTTTTTTCAACACCACAAGTCAAAACATGGAGCTCTCCTTTGTTTTCGACTTCCCAAAGCCCAGAATAATATTATGGCAATCTAAATTTTCAGATTCTGGCGCGATATCTTGCTCTTCCTGTGTTCTGAAAAAAATATGTGTCGGGGGGTATGAAAAAGTGAAATTAAAGCAAAACACCTCTCCCCTTTGGAGGGAATGTGAGTATCTATGAGGGCCATATTTTCTACTCTTTATCCAAGTCCTGACACTGGTGTCAGACCTAAACCTACAGCTTGAGGGCATGTGGCGCAAAAATCACAACCAGAAATATTGCTCTGAAGATATTCAAAAGGAGCATTAAAATGGTGTGGAATTGCCTTTAAGTACTTATATACTTAAATATAAGTATATAATACTTACATTTGTGCTGCATTAACTTTTCTTTCTCCTAACCCACCCTGATTAGTATCTCCTACCCCACTGAGAAATTCATACCAGAAACATAATTTTCCATGGGGAAGATGTCTTGAAAACACACCACAATTTTTTCTAATCATATATTTCAATTACTAGTTCCCATGTCAAAATAAGTTTGGCTCACTTTGTATGAAAACCAACATGAGGCCTCCTATAGACCCCAAAATATGGGGTACATGTGTACTATTTATTCCAGCAGTTGTTAACTTGGCCCATGCATCTCTTACAAGTCAGTCTGTAAACCACCTAAAATCATATGCAGATGTTTTGTGTGTAGAGGTTCCTTTTTTCTTCTTCTTTGTGGAGTCCATATATTTTATGAGACTTCCTTAAGAATCAGATCTTATACATCAAAGTCCACCCTGGTTCCTACCACTTCATAACAACCATGGTGGGCTTTGTGGAAGCCTCTGGATTGTGTCCCTTCAGTCATCTGACACCTACTGAATCCCATCACTTTTCATTCTCCTGAATAAACTCAAATTCAAAACGAAGAAGAGCTAGCAGGGACCTGAGAGATGGTCAAATCCAAGTCGTCATTGTGCAGTTGAGGAAGCTGAAACCTAGAAGACTTTGGGGGCTTGCCCAGAGCTCTAAATATATACAGAGGTGGCAGAGCTATGGCCAAAGGAAGGAGAACTTGGAAGGCACAAGGTGAGGTTTGGGTCCCAGGTCCACCATTGTGGCCTTGGATAGTGTTGGACATCTCGACCCTGCAGTTTTTCTCATCTATAAAGTGAAACTATAATGCCTACCTCCCAAGGGTGAGGTGAGAGTTCAATGAAAATATAAAAATACTCTGTAAACTGTGAAGCACTCCACAACTGAGAGGCAGTCGTTATTGTAATGTCATAACAATAAGTTGGGCTCTGTCTGGATCTCTTATTACGCCCCCAAGTGAAAAGCCCATAGAAGCACCAAACTCCCCCACATTTTCTAAAACGTAGCCTGAAAAAATTGCCCATGTTTAAGTGATTAGTAATAATGCAGACTTCAAATTGCATGTATTCATTAAAAAATAACTTTGATATTAAAATTCCAAGACTAATATATATTATTATGGAGAAAGCTAATAGAACATCAAAATCGTAGAAAAATCAGTCAAAGGAATAAAATTAATTTTTAAACATCTTAAACTGTCATTCTATTATGCCCCCCACTCACAAACAAAACCTAGTTAACATTTCACAAAATAGCACCATGTCGCTGTTGTTGCTGTTTTATCTCCATGTAAACTTTACATTCCTCTACGATGCACAGCAGAGACCTGTGTCTAACTGCAGGTAACTGGTTTGAGGAGGAATTCTTACATTAGCAATTCTTCTATGGAAATTCAACACAGGCAACTACTTATTATGATATGTGTTGTGTGTTTGGGTTTTTTAATCTTCCTTCATTTAAATAATTAAGTTATAACTGTTCCAATTGGCAATTTCAGGACTCCATAATGATATTCTGAATTTCCAAAACATTTGCCATTCATCATAAACAAGTTAGACAGATCTTTCACTTCCTCTCTTGCCCACTTTTCTCCTCCACTCCTCTCCGCTTCTGTGCTACGCTTTAGAGGCCCTGCTTACTTAAGAAAAAAGGAGGAAAAGAGTGTAGAACTGTGTGGTCACCATGGGCAGTCCCCAGGATCTGGGTGATTCTGACCCAGTCCTATCACTTGTCACGTGCTGCTTCTTAAAGCGAGTGTTTCCAGTTCTTGCAGCTTTTGCCTCTGTTTTAGGGAATCCACTCTGCACTGTGTATCATGCAGTAGGGCTTTCAACAAAGACACAGTCAGTATATCCACTTTCTCACCAAGTCTTGGCTTCTCCATATGGAAGTGTGTGTGTGTGGTCAGAGGAAGAGAGAATGAACTATCTGTGCTCATTTGCCAGAACCTCTCGCAGCATCCTGAGACGGTGCAGGTCCAGGTTCAAGTGCTCTCCTCACAACTGGTTCTGGTAAAGCTGAAGACAGGACATCCACTGCCCATGAGCCCTTAGGGCTGACTGGTGTGCAGAAGGGGAAAGTTAAAACCAATGGGTTTTTTTCTCTCTTAGAATGACCTTGACAGTGTCTTGTAAACCTTGGCTGACTCTACCCCAGGCTGTCTTCTATCTTGTGTCAATCACCTAGCCCAGTGGTCAGCAAACTGCGGCCCCTTGAGTGTGGCACTTCCACAAAATACCACGTACGGGCATGCACGTACACTCAAGGGGCAAAAGAGCCGCCTGTGGCTCGCGAGCCGCAGTTTGCCGACCACTGATCTAGCCTTTCTTAAGTGTCTCCTGGTAACACTCTGTGGAGCCACAGGCAGCTGGGATGCTCTGCAGTTTACCTGATGTCTATTTCGGCTTCCACTCATGTTTCAAAGCAGCAAAAGTTAAGCGGGGGAATTACAAGGGGCTGGGAGGTGGCTAGGGAATTCCCAGGGGACATGGGGTGCCTTACAGTCTACAGCAGAGAAATCTCAAACCTCTCTTTTAGGAAAAGCTCTAAGCCAGCATGTCCCCAAGTATCTTAGCTTTCCTCCTGCCATATAATACGAACGTATGCGTCCCTGAAACAAAAGCATATGCTCAACCAACTCCAAATCTGAGAGGCTGTTGGCTCACTTGTTTTGAAGATAACTTGACATCTTGCCCTAGCAAAATACTGACTTCTTTCTTTTTTCCTTCAGAAAAATAAGCCCTGCTATTTCCTAAAGAAGGGGGGGCAGCCAGCTTCAAGAGACTGGATCTAGCAAAATATAGTAAGGCTGCCATCTGTCTCACTTAATGGATGGGGCACTCATGATTGAGAGGAATTTGTCTTCATTAGAGCCAGCTAAAATGTATGTCGCAGAGCTGAGGAAACCTGTCACGACTCTGCTACATTGGGAATCAAATAAAAACCAAAATTGCTCTTTTCAATCTTTGTAAATTAGAAAGGAGTCTTGCCAAGAATGAACATATCTTCATTTCAGACCTAATTTAGAATTTATAGTATCCCGAAATATGGACTCACTATGAAATGAATATTCTGGCTAATTATTTCTTAAAGCAAACACTCGCTTATCATTCCTGAGATACTTCAGTGTATAAGCAGGAGAACTCTGACAGTTGATTAGAATTCAAATGCTCTGACTTGTCATTTCAGCCCAAGGTAGTAGCTGTTCTCAAGGGATCATTGAATGAAGTAGGAAAAATACAAATAATTGACCTCTTTAAACTTAGAAACCTTGAATATCTGTGTTGGTTTGGTGTTTTTTAATTTCTTTCCCATTAAAGAGTCATCTGTATCCTTTGCTGGATAGAAGGTCTGGGGAAGCATCTACAAACCCTGTTCCCTATAAATAGGCCCACAACTTAAAGGGTGTTATGCCCAAAAGTAGGACTAATGAAGGAAAGTACTGCCTGTGTAACTTCACAATCAATGTGCAATGAAGAAAGGGAGTGGATCCATTTTAAATATAAGAGCCGCCTGTGGCAAACCAGAATTCTCAAAAATCAGAATTCTCAAAAATTTTACAGTTTGTGGCTAGCCTCTCTCTTTATGCCTTTATTGTGGACTAAGAAAAAAATGCCATTTCTATTAGATGGATAAAGTTTCTTCAATATTGATATTTGTAGAAGAAATTGGTGTCAGGTTAAAAATGAATCATCTTCCTTGGACTTTGTGAAATGAGAATTTCTACCTCATCTTTCTACCTTTCTTCTTAGAAAGAAAGAAAAAGTCATGACCCAAGATCCTTCTTTGTTTCCCTAATTCTGCAGGGTATGTGTTAGCTTTCCTTTTCTGAAAATTGAATTTTAAATTCAAGAACCAATCAAATGGATTACTTGGTTCTCACTGTTCTTCTACAAAAATAAATTAATTCTTCCATGGTCATAACTCTTTAACGTTTTTATTTTGGCAGCACCTTTTTTTCTGAAATGATAAGTGTCATTATTTTCTTTTTATTCAATTCAACAAACATGGAATGGGCACCAGTGCTTAGGAAAGTGAAACAGAACAGATCCCTGCAAAGTATGTGAGCCTTCCTTTGTGTTATTAGTATTTTCTCTCAGTAAAAGTTGGACCTGTGTTTCCCTTCATCTGTTTTTCTTCAAGAACATTATATCGGTTAGAGTGGAATGAATACTATTGATAGTCTGTTTCTCTAAAAAACTATTCAAATGAAGGAATTCATAGAATTTTTTGTAATCAGGTTTTATTGTACATTTCCCTAGGGGGTGTGTGTGTGTGTGTGTGTGTGTGTGTGTGTGTGTGTGTCAGAGAGACAGAGACAGACAGAGACAGACAGACACAGAGAAATCTTGACATCTTCCAGGTACTACTTATTAAAAATATCCCATGAAGTGATTTCAATCACTGAAAAGTGTTGACTATATTCTCCTAACACCTTGGGCTTGCAAATCTGGCAGCTGTCACTGATATCTGAGATAAGATTGATTGACTTATTCATGTTGTACACACACATCTATACACACACTTCAACACTTGAATACATCCTTTCTAAACACTCACTTTATTAAAATGTGTCATATGCCCATTCTTATAAATGATAAATAATATAAGATTATTTTAGGGAATGGAAGTTAAAAGAAATAAGATGCCTAGTGCCATGTGTTATTCTCTGCTGGGTCAAACTGTGGCGTTGACAGAGACCTCGGCAATTCATTTGTTTGGTTTACAGGGGAGGAGACTGGGGCTGGTAGTTGCAGTGGTTTGTCCCATGTCCCGTTGGGTCTGCAATACAAGCCTTCATTCCAGTTTTCTTTCCTCTACATGTGTTGGTCATCAGCCAGGCCTTGCTGTGACTGCAATTTGATATTTTCTTCCACCTGGGCTCCAGACCCTGGTCATCAAGGCTCAGGATCCGAGAAAGACACCTCCTGTTGGCTCCTCCTCTTCACTCTGCCTCCCCCTGAATCTGAGCATCAGATGGTCAGGTAGTCCTCTTCCAGTGGGCTTTTGTCATGCCTTTTTGTCTTCTCAGGGCAAATAAGATATCCCAGACCTCAGATGGCCGGTCTTTGCTTCCTTCCCAAAGACAAAATAGCTCAGCGATGCCTGCCTTCTTCTGCCTTTGCTCATGGTTTAAACGTCATCCACCTGCCCACTGCGAGCCTTCTCATGACCTTTGTCAACCAGCGGAGGGACAGTTTCCTGCTGGGTCCAGTCTCTTCTACAGACTTTTGTCCCTGAAGAAGCGATTTTGCAAATAATTGCTGAAAGTCACTTTGTAACGGCCTCACAGAGTTTCATTT